CCTTGTCCGTCACTCGGTGTCCCTACACTTCTGTTTAGAAGCTTCTACAGAGGGCGTTGGGTGATTGGATAAGGGCCTGGGGTCCCTCCCTTTCTCCTCCCTAACTGGTTACCCTGTTTGTCAGTCATCAAGAGAGCCACTCCTTTGTTTCCCCTATTGGTCAGTCAGTTTTCTCCTCCCTCCATATATAAGTTGTTGTTTGCACCATTCCAGGGCTCTCTTTGGTTGGATTAATTTGAGTTCAGTTGGGCTTCAGGGGTTCCCTCGGCGTCTCAATAAACTTTGGAGTTATCCCTCTGAAGAGTGTCATCTCCATCCTTTGCTGGTGGGATCAGCCCAGTCTTTGGATCCATGAAGGCGCTTCCCAAAGCCCAGCAGGGTCCAGCAGGAAGTGCCTCCCGCTGCCCAATCACCCCGTGTGGAGCTAGCCGGGCTGGCACGAGATCTGCCCTTGAGGAGCAGGGAGATGCGGCAGGTACTGATGCCTAAAAATTTTAGCTTTCTGTACATTTCTCATATACTTGTAGCTTTGTAGACTGCTAATACAAGGTTGTAGCTTCTCGTACTCGTCCTACCCTTTTCCCTTACTTCTTAGAACAGTAAGCTAACCCTTCTACTACACTTAAGATTCTGTTTAGCCTGTTTAGTCCAGCAAAGACACTTTGTTATGCACCATATCTCGCAGCCACAATAAAAAAGAGGACTAAAAAATCAGGGGAGGGCTACAATGGGGCAGAACCTGGGCAAAAATGACCTAACCAACTGCTCTTCTAACTTGACAGTATTTTTTAGATATATAAATTAACTGACATTATAAAATTGTACAGATCTGATTCCACCTGTGCCCATAGCCATGAGTGTACCTGGAAGCTTCCCTTAAAGATCTGCTTTTTGTATTATCTATATTAATATTGCCTGGAAAGCATTTTTATTTCTTGATTCAGGCAACAGTACTGCCTCTCCACATTGTAAATGCAGCAAACTTTGTTTGAGTAACAAATAAATAATGTGGAGAAACTGGCATTTTACTATGTGACAAAACCCCTTTTCGAAAGGTTAATATGGTAGCAATTCCACCAAATGAGGAAGAAAATTTTGTCTTTAAGACCACAATTAAATGTATAGATGAAGGCATAATAAATCTACTAAACAAAACAAGTAGTAGCTACTAAATACTATAAGTTGCTACTAACAAAAGTGAGTAGCAGTCAGACGCTTCAATTACTGGCAAGGTTTAAGTGTCTGCCACCTGTGGCTGAGGAATTTGTAGTTTGTAGAGTGAAACTCACTGAATGGAATGAATGAAACTGAATGGAACCCAAGGGTGAGTCATTTTATTTATCACAAAAGTAAACTACATCATGCAAAAGAAGCTCAGATCTTTGTGGCACCTTCTCAGTGGTCACTGGGAATCAGAGCGTCGGCTAACAGTTCCCCGGGGTGATCGGTGGGGGTCACGAGAGCGGCCGCCCCTGGTTCTCCGATGAGACCACCAGGTGGTGGTGTGTGCAGCGGCGTGGGTGACGCTGGCACAAAGGTGGCACCAAGATCCGAAGCGAGGGGACAAAGGAGAGGACACTTGTTTGTGGTTCAAGAAGATTTTATTCCACGAAATGGGTCAGGGACAAGTGCCAAAGAAAATGGAGGCCGGCTAGAACTTATAAAGGATGTGGGCGTGAAGGGGTGTCACTATGGAACATCCAATGGCAATGGATTACATTAGGATTACATCATTGGTCATGACCAATGGGGAAAAGCTGGAGAGGGGAGAAGCCTCAGGGGACCAACTGACAACAAGAACAGGGATGACTGACAAAGAACTTTTGAGAAGAAAATGGGGGTGGTTACACTGACTGACAGAGGAGGTGGGCAGCACAACTCGGATTGACATGTCTATTTTGAGGTAAAACGGGAGGAACAGGGAGATTGACAGTCAAGTGGCAGGAAAACTTAGGGGTAAACAACTTGGGAGAAACCACTGTGAGGGAAAGAAATAGGGGGTACAAGGAACATACCAAACAGAACTCTCTAACAATAAATTTCTAACACATATAATAAAACACTGCAAAATCCCACAGAATACACACCACCACAGATCTTGGCAAATACAGTTTCGATTTACCCAGTGGTCTGGGTTACCAGCCTTTCCAGTATGAAGGTGTGGCTCAATGAATATCAACAAGTCTGGCAACTAACAATCAAGAACATGTAAGAGAATTCAGAAATTGTGTAGACACATACAAGTATTGGATCATGCAAAGAACTTGGAGACTTTACTGCCTACAGTGCAGAATTCCTACATGAAACTCCAACATCAGCAGCCCCACATCACCTCCTGTGTTAGTGCATCAAACAGCACTCAGCAAGCAGAAGCATAAAGCAAGATACAACTAGAGAATGCATCCAATCCACACAACGTCAATACAATAAAATTCTACTGAAAGCTCTAATTCTTCTGAAACTACTTCTAGGAATCATCCATGTGATGGTTTAGCTCAAACTAACAAAACAGAAGACTCTACCCTGCATCAGCATAATGTGCTTGCTCAGGAGACAAACTTTATTTGCCTCACATGGAGCTGCATCAGTCTGTATTTACAGAAAAGTCTACACGTGTAAATTAGATTAAAAAAGCTATTATTGTTCTCATGAAAGAGAAAAAAGGAGCATGGTGCACATTACTACAGAACCAGAATACCCATGTTTTTGCATTTTGAACACTGACTACAGTGTGAAGATGAAAGCCCAGTCACTACTGAAAAACTGCATTTCACTTTTGCAGAGGCTGAGGAATCAGCTGACTCCTCAGAAGACAGTGCTACAGGAAGTGATGAACAGTTTGGAGATAGATCTTTAAGAAGATTAGACATTTCAAAACAGTCTCTTGTACCATGCAAGGGAAACAACTGTAATTGTTAATTTAAAATGTTAGAATTAAAAAAAACATTAAAGAGTATTAGAGAGTCAGAAAGGGAGATAGACTTGTGGAACCCAGGTCTGACTGCCCTGACACAGCAGCAGTCACCAGAAATAATTCAAGATCAATGGGATCTAGCCATTCCCCATCAAGGACAAGGTAGCAGCTGTAAGGAAAGGAGGAAGGGAGGGTAATCCATGCTTGGGATATAGCAAGTGACACCCTTTTTTCCCCACCTCATTCCCCCAGGTCCCTCTGCACAAGAGGCAAGATGTTTTGCACATGGAAAGCCAGCCAAAAGCTGAAGAGAATAAAGGTCCAGTTGCACCAAAGGTGCCACTATGACCAGAAAAGAAATAAAGCCTGTGAGTCAGAATCACAGCCCAAGGCAACAAAGGGAATCTTGTGACTGATGTCTAGTACAGGCAGCCTGATCAAGAGAAGCCTATTGACAAAGCCTTCTTGCTTTAGAAGGCAGTGTGCTCACAGGCTCTTGTTCTGCTGGAAAAACATCACAAGCTGCAGGCGATTCAGGAGACTCCTGGACCCAGTGTTTTCCAGGGCACGCAAGATCCCCCATAACACTTCCATTTTACTCTCAGACACATGTGCCACTCACCCCTTGAGACCCCCTCAGCTCTGTGGTCCCTCCAGCACCAGGCCAGGCCTCCCCTAGTCTTCAGTAGAAAGGTGTCCCCACGGTCCCCCATTTAAACACACTCCTTACTCTGGGGCCACCTCTCTACTTGCTGAACCATCCAGTTTTACATTCATTAGTGCTCACATATTTACTCACACACTTGCACTTACTCCACAGCTGCACCATGGGCACATGGGCCCTCTGACATGTCTGACCCCCATACACAAATGTATGCACATATCTCAAAGAAAAGCTAGAAAAACATTCACTGCCACCATAGTCTTGTGCCTGCCCAATTCACTTCAACCCACCCCTTTTCCTGATTTTTATTCATTTCCTAAACAGAACTTTCCACACATCTCCCTCACTTTCTTTAAAAGCTCTTGGTTGAACCTGCAGAGATTGCTCTTCTTTTGCCTTGCATAGTGCTGCTGAACTGTACTTTCTTTGATCCTGCAGGCTGTTGTAGTCCACACTGCTGCCCCAAGCCATGAGCAGATCAGGTCCCATAACCACCCACATCCAATATTCTTACACTGTGTCACTGTATTTGGGACATTGGAATGGGCTGCCCAGGGAGATATGACTTAGTGCCATAGTTTATTTGATAATATGGTGTCAGGTCACAGGTTGAGCTGGATGCTCTCAAAATTCGTCTTTTCCAGCCTAATTAACTATTTGATTCTTCCCACCACTTCCTGAATAAATATCACCGGAGAGATTCCTGTACCTCCAGGGGGGAGTGTGAGGACAGCCATGGGTATCTGGGCAGGGTATCTCCTGGGCCTCCTGATCCCCAGCACCAAATCAACAAAACAGGGGACTTTGCAGACCACCAAAACACAACTTGGTGTGCTAGAAGAGCCAGACGGGCTTGTACCCTGCACCTGGAGCAGTGAATGGCACAGGCAACAGTCTCTGCCTTCACACAGGGCACAGAGCAGCTCGGCAGCCCCACATTCCCCAGGGGCCCAGAAAACCTGCATGAACCGGAGCTTGCTGCCCTCAGCCTGGCCTCGGCTAGCACGGAGCGTAGAGCGCCAGGGAGCCGAGAGGGGCGCGGAGACAGCCTGGGCATTTCCGTAACTCGAGAGCCGCGCCCAGCAGCGTGCCTCCGGCGGGCTGCTGCGGGAAAGGGCCCCCCGACGGACTGGCTGCCCCAAGAGCAGGCTGGCTGCTGCGGGAACGACAGGGCTGCTGCGGCAGCGGGCCGACTGGCTAGCCAGGCTGGCTGGCTGCTGGGGGAGCGGACGGCCTGGCCGCAGACTGAGGGAAAGAAAGGGGCAGCTGGCGCGGTGGCTGCTGCGGGAGCGGAGCGGCGGCTCAGCCGGCTGCTGGGGCGGACAGCTGCGAGGAGCCGCGGCCGCTGAAGGAGCGGCACCGCCCCCACGCCCCCGTTTCCCGGGCGCGCCCCCGCGGGCAGCGCGCAGCCGCACTGATCCGAAACAGTTTCTCGCTCACGTCGGAGAAGCCGCTTCCGTTTCCAACGCCGCATTCCGGCCACACCTGCCCGTACCCCAGCCCCGCTCGCTCCGCCGCCCGGCCCGCCCGAGGAGGACCCCGCGCTCAGCCGCCCCAGCAAGCCATGTCTGAGGAGGGTAAGGCTCCCGGCCGGCGGCTCGCCCCGCCGAGGGGGGTGGGAGAGACGCGGCGGCGCGGGGAACGCTCCCTCATCGTTCGCAACAGCCCCAACGCCCGCCGCCGAGCCGGCCGGCCACGCCCACCGCGCCCGTCGCTATTCGCCCGTTCCCGCGCGGCCGGCGCTGCCATTGGCTGCCGCTGCTGCCCGTCGGCGCCGCGTCAGCGCCGGCGGGTGTCGCGGCGCGGGGGCGCGGCTGATGGCGGGCGTGCGGGCCCGGCGGCCGGGGGCGCTCCCCGCGGTGCGTGTGGCCGCGGCACGGAACTGCGCTCAGGAGCGCTATGCCCAGCCACAGCTTGGTTGCCTCAGTTCAGTGTTGATGGTGCGGGAAGCTTTTGCTTTCACTAGTCTTCAAATGGCAGCTGAGCGTAGTGCCAAAATCTTGGGGAGACTTTTCCGTGGAACGGTAACGTCTCGGCTTTGGTGGGTTCCCCCGGCGCTGTAGTTACGGGGATACACAACCTGAGTAAGGGAGAGATGAATGCTGCTCATAAAGTGAGAGGCCAGACCTGATGAATTGTCTATCAGAAGGCACAATGCATAGTGTAACTTAAGTCTTAGCCATCAGACACCTTGACTTGGGACTAAAACAGGTCTATTTCTGCTAGTTCCGTGCTGCGCCATGCCCTTCGGGGAAGCGATGTTTATATAGACTCAGATCAGTTTATGCCCATTTAGGTTGTTGCTGTCACAGCCCTATCCTCTAAAGATCTTCCAGCTGTGTCTGGCTCAGATGCCAAAAATTTTCTTGTATGATTTCATTGTTCAAGGAACTTTTCTGATCGGTAAATAGCCAGTTTGCTGTGCAATTCTGCAAGTGTCAACATGAGCTAAAGGGGTAGGATGGTGATGGCAGAAGGGTGGGAGCACAGCAATTGTGATAGAATATTTATTAAATAAATGCACACAGTGGTGTGTTTGTTGGTGCTTCTCCTTTGTCCTCGATTATTCAGTTTCCTGATTGGCTTTGTTTGTAACTCAGTAATCCTAGCAAATTCTAAGCCTGTGCTAATCCCTAGCAATAGAAAAGATCTGACATTAATAATAGTGTTCAATCAAAAGGTGCAGTATGAGCCCCAGTCTTAATAAACACTGAAAGTCTTTATGTGAGAGTGGTTTTACTTTGACTTAGAGTGGTTTTAGCATCTCAGTGATCTAAATATGACATGTAAAGGTACAGGAAATCTGGTTTTATTATTTTGCTTCTGTCCATAGTAATTGGTTTTTATAAGCTGAACATTTGTTTCTGTTTCCTTAGTTTATTGCAAATTTTGACAGCAGCACTCTAAATTAACTGTTTCAGTATTCAGAGGCTGTTGTTAAGCGTTTTATCTCTGGTAGAGTATTCTGGTGTCTCTCATCCCTGACAATATATGTAGAGGAAGGACAGAATAGTCAGAAGTATTCTGAGGATGCGACCTAAGATGAGTGCTACCATTTTTTTTGAGTGCAGGATTTAAAACTCTTTGTAAAATCTGGTTTGATTTACACGGAGCTTCCATGGCTGGCTGTTTCACCTGGGTGTGTTGAGATAATGTTTGCAGAAATATAGAGGTGTCTAACTGAACTCTTTAAAAATTAAGAAAACCCACCAGATTTCTATGACAAGTTTTTAGTGATTTTGCAAGAAGCTCTCCAGGAACTCTGTAGCAGAGGTTGGGATGGGATTTAGTACTAATCGGTGCTTTCAGCCATCTCTTTCATCAACCTCCCTTTACCATTCTATGCTTGACGATCACTTACATTTGTGTTTTTGCAACTAGTGAGAGCATTCATCAGGTAATGTCTAATTCAGTACAAGTCATTCCTTATTCCACTGTCTTATGTGATATATTTTATTAGTAACATACTTCAGGAAATAAAAAAATAGTCTGTCATCTTGTCTTCAGACTTCAGCTGATACATCAGATTTGATTGTATTTCTGTGCTTCCAGCTCTCATTATCATAAATCTGCTTAAATCTCTCAGTTAGGTCTGCAGTGAGATTGAGTTAATAGGCAAATGGTTACTTAGTGTTGTGATGAGGTGATACTTATCCTGAAGGGCATCCTGATGTCCCTAGGCTCTCCCTTGTGTTAGTTCACTTTTTTGTGTTTGTTAGCGTAAGTGTCATGCCATAAATAGCACAGGATCTAATTATGATTCAAGTTAAGGCTAGCTGTCTCTCCTTTTTATGGCTTAGTTTCAACCCAGGTAAGTTCTTTTTTTATTTGGGTGGGGTTACTTTGCTTGATTTGTTTTGGTATATAATTCATAGTTGCTAGAGAGGTTTTTTGAGCTTTCGTGTTTTTCCTTTTGATTCTGCCTTTGAATGAGTTTGAGTTTGTTGTTTGTTTGTTTGTTTGCTTGGTTTTGGTATTTCTTGATGTTTAATACCAACATATTTTCAAGTCCTGATTAATCTTAAATGTATCTTTCTGTTGGTTACTGGAAATTCTTTGTGATGCTTGGCTTCACAGAGCTGCATAAAAAGCTGTAATTTAATGTAGTACAGGGTTAGGCATAGAGTTGGACGTTTTTGGGTGCAAATAATTCAAGCGCCTTTAATGTGTTTCAACTTGATGTTTTTGTGCAGAAGTGATCTCCTGATGAAAGAATTCTAAATTATGAACTTGAACATCTTAGAAGTTAAAAAGATCACCTCCAATCTTGTTTTTTTTAAATATAGTCATTTCACTGGACTGTTCTGTCTATAAATGTCTTTCTGTACAATACACATTTTTTATAAAGTTCAAGCTATTAGTATATCCGACTGCTCTACTGAAAATTCTAAGTCATAGCTTATATAACTCAGAGTATGCATTGAGTCTGGAAAGGAAATTAGTTTGGTTATGTTTTCTCATTTTATATGACTGTTACTTCTGTTTTCAAACAGAAATTCAGAGTTCTCCTAAACTAATAACTTGATCCAATAAATAAATAATAAATCAGCCTATTTAGTAAGTCTTACTAATGTGTAATCCACTTCACAGTAAAAGCCATGTTTGAAATACGTAAACCTGAAATACTTCCTTAATCACACTTTTTAAATTTATAATTTCCTTTCAAGACTTACTGGAAACACCTAAATATCTATGTAATGAAATTGTCTGTCAGTTGAGTGAGTTAATATATATAAATTAATATATATAAAATTCTAACTTGACACAAGAAATGCAGCTGCATCATCATCCAAGTCAGAAGTAAAATGCACTTGATGGCTTCTTCTTTTTTTTTTTTTTTTTTTCAGGAGCACAGATTAATCTATAGAATTTGGCAGATTGTGGTTTCTACCTGAGAGTCAGAATTGTATTTCATACTGTTTGGTGCTATATACTTATGGCAATATTTTCTATTCCTGGGCACTTTAAGGAAGCATTAGAAATACTTAGAATTGCTTAGAGGACTAAGTTGCAGTGTCTTTCAAATTATGGCTAAATAGCTGGATTTTTTCCTTGTTGCAAATTTTTGAAGGTATGAATAATATTTTATATGTAAACTTTGTTTAATTCTTGATAGTCCCTTTCTATGTGTGAAAGCAGCCATATTCAGCAATGAGGGATAGAAATTAAAAGGCCAGGGGATGAGGAGAATCCTGGCCATCACCTGAAAGATTAAAATGAGAGATTACTACTTGTTGCTGCATTGCTTCCATGTCATTGTAGAAATCTGTTGTGGGTTTGGTTTTGGTTTTTTCTTTTTTTTTTTTTTAATTGAGGTGGTTTTCCTTTCTGCATTTTCCTGTTTGGTTTATGTGTACTTTCCAGCTGTGAGTTGGTATAGCTGTAGACTTTGGAAACACTTTCTGTTCGGAGTCCACTGCACTGTAGAAATTCTGATTTTGAAACTTATTTAAGGGAGGGTGGTAGAGGGTGTGGAAGACTGACCCTTGCTTTCAGTATCAACCACTTGTGGAAACTCTCCTAGGTTCTCATCATACTGACCTTTCTCTATCCAGATGGAACTGCTTTGACATTGCCATGTCTTTGCTATGTGCTGGTTGCACAGAATGTTCCCTCTTCTATATTTATCACTCTTTCTAGTGTAGATTTGAGTGATGTAGTTGCTGATCATGTAGGGTTATTTTTTTGGTGTTGAGTGAATAAGCACAGTAAATTCTGTGCTTTTTAGGGATGTCTAAATAACATACAATTTGCATTGCTTTGTCTAGTTAGGGATAGAAAGAGGATTGCAGGACAGCAGAGACCCAGCTGTAAGTAGGGCATTTGTCAGACCATGCACTAATCTGGTATCTTGGCTGGGGAAATTGGCAGAGAGGATTGTCATCCCTCCTGCTTTGATGCAGATGCACTTTTACTGACTCTTTGTTAATACTGTCCCAAAGTAGGTAGAATACTAAATGATTGTCAACAAAAAAATATGTGCCTGTGAGGCAGGTAAATAATTCAGCACATGCTAATATTTCATGTTAGTCTGCAATGAGCTTCAGTCAGTGAATATCACTGAAGTGATTTTTGCTGAAAAAGCTGCACCTAAATTAAGTTCATGAGTAAGCCTGTTGTTTACTTCTATACAGCTGACGAAAACTGGCAAAGAACTGCTTTCCTGTTGGCAGCCTATGCAGCATATCCTACAGTGTGTCCTCAGCTAAACTCCTTAGTACAGGTCAGCTCTGCCCCAGGTAGCTTTTTGGCTTTGCTTACACCTACAAACAAAGCTCTTGACTGTGTGGTGGTTGATGGGTGTTTCTGAACAGACCATCAGTTTCTTAATCTGATGACAGAAAAATCCAAACCCTTCTCTATTATGTCCTTTGAATTAGATGGAACTATTGGCCAGAGGGAAGACTGAATGACATGTGAAATTCAACTTCATTCTTACTTTTGGTTTCTCTAAGAAACTGGGAGAGAGCAGGATTTGGAATTAATTGATTTTGTAAGAGTAGAGACCCAGACTGCTGTCCCAGTCATACAGTTCTGATTCATTCCTGGAGCTCAGTCCATCCTGTGCACTGAACAGGGCAGAGACAATATGGAAAATACAGCCTGTGTTACTCATGGAGTGTCATGCATGTGTGCTAGCTGAATTTCAGTTTTATTTCCTAACTTGAGAAGGTTCCTTCCATTAATTTGTTTCATTAAAAATAAATTCCACTCCCTCCCTGACTCTATCAACAACACTGGATCTAGCAATAATAACTATACAATACAATATAACAATACAGTTATTCTGAAACCATTTTTCTCTTGAGGTAGCATGTTTAATTTGAAAAAATCTGCTACTGGAGATTTGCCATTCAGTGTTTCTGCACAGTATTGCATTGGGAGCCAATGTTTGGATTGATCTTAATACCAAGTATACAGAAGGATATGTAGACTGATTTGTTCAAGTGTATTAAGCAAGTCTTAATTATGAAAGTCAAATTTCAAGACCAGATTAATACATTTTTTCATATGCTTGAATATGTAAACAGTAGAGTTTGTAGAAGTGCTTGTTACTGGCTTGTAACTGTTCTTGTTGAAGCTGGACACTTTAGGGAGAATTGGGTGCTGAACTGTTTCAGAAATCCCACCAACTACACAATACTGAGCTGCTTCTATCCTAGTGTGCATTAAAACCCCAGTGTTTGTGTTTAAAAGTGACTTTGCATTCAGATGCTAAAGTGAAGCTGAATTTATAATAGCCTGTGGTACAATTGAGATAATGCTAGGTGTGATAAAGGCACTACAGTTGTCACCTGATATGCAGAATGGCCTGCAGTCTTAACTGTTTCTCTTTCTGCATCTGCTAATAGATTATTTGTGTGTGAAGACTGAGGAGGAGGATGAAGCACTGGTTATGGACCATGGAGACAGTGGGCTGTCCACACAAAGTTGCATGCCAGTGCAACAGAACTCTGAAGGAAACAGTTCTGTTCATCACATGAGTCAACTTGCCTATGGTAATTACTGTTTATTTTTATTGTGATCTGATAGTTAATGGCTCGTTTTAATGCCATACGTTCTGTGCTTTTGGATTCAGTGCTTTCCATATTACCTGTATCTTTAAAGCATGCTTTATTAGAAAGCTACTTTATAGAAATTGCTTAGCAGTGCCTTTAAAGAAAAGTGCCTTTTAGTTATTACTTTCTATACCCTTATAAATGGTGAGCCTGCTAACATACTATGCTTTAAAAAGACAACTTTTTACTTGTAAAGTTAAGTATACCTAGGAATAAATTAGAAAGCAATTTGGAAGATAAATGTCATGAAAGAACCTAGCCTAAAAAATTTTAGGCTTTTAGGTTTTTAGGCAATCCAGTGTAACTTAATACTGGAGATGCTGATGTGTAATGATAGCTAGATGGTTGTTTAAGATGATAAATTATTAGCGGTAAGTAGCCATTGTGATTTTCTTTAAATCGCTGCATTTATTTTAACATGCAAGATCAAAGTCTTTCAAGAAATCTTACCCAATGCTTCATTGGCCCAGACAAAAATTCTTCACAGCTGTTATGAGCATTTATAAAGTTCTGTAGCAGTATTACAAAGTCATTGAGGAAAGTTACTGTAACTAAGTGAAGGCACTTTCTAGTTTGGGGGATTTCTTTCAAAATTCAGCCAATTAACTCTACAGAGAATCCCATCAGTATTTCTCTTCACACACAAGCTACTTATGTTTCCTAGTGTTGCTGGGTGCTTCTGAGAACCTTTAGATTTCTTGGTGTTCTAATTGACAGTAGAATATTCTGTAGTTGTCTATATGTTTACATCTAAAAACAAATTTGGGAGTGGAGGATGGTTTGGATGGTTTACTGGGGTTTTTGTCTCTGTTATTGAAAATAAGCAAAGAAACACCCCCACCAAAATTAAAACTTCTGTCCAAGAAGCTGTCATAGACAGTTGTTGACCTTGGCTTTGGGACATGAGTAATTATTTCATTATTAATAAATTAATCATTATGAGAGCAGTTGTTTCTTAAAAGGTAAAATCTGGTTTTGTTATCTTTGGGTGTATTAGCATTAGATATTGTCTAGTTAAAATCAACTATAGTGAGACATATGAGTGAAACACACCACAGGTTTATCTCAAATGTGAGTATTGAACTTTGAACTGAAATTCTGTTGGATTGGTTTTAGTCAGCCATGTCTTAGACTGGTATCTTGTAGAGCAGTGCCTTTCCTTCAGATCTCATTCTGTCTGTCCAAATTAGTTTCTTTTGTCTTGTATCTTCTTGCCTACTATAAGAAGCTGTCAGAGCAAGCTCAACATCATGCAGAGAGAGATCTAGGTTTTCATTTCTCCCTGCCTGCTGCAAAACACCTTTTATTTTAATTTTTTCTTAGCCATTTATGCTCACAAAGTCAGTGTAACTTCTACTGGCACTTTAAAAAATATCATTATGTTTGGAAAAAACAATACTAAATTGAACTTATAATTTCTGAACCAAATTAATTCAATAAATAACTGTTTGATAATATGCTGGTAAACAAATTTCAAATAATCAATCAGTCTGAAAGTTTAAAAAAAAGGTGACTGTGCCTATTTTTACTGTAGTGAAACATTTAATGCAGTGGGAAACTTTCTGATGTGCTTTACTGTCACTTCACTTTAACAGGAAGTGAAGGCTTGCCAGTGCTTGCTGATCAAACGGCCTCACAAATGAGTCATTCTGCAATGCAGAGAGGAACTGGTCACAGTCCTGAGAAAATGGATTTTGTGTTTTTGCGTAATAAAAGAAAACGACTTTCTCCTGCTCTAGTGGAACACAATGTGGTATGTTTCACCAAACAATAGCCCTCCGTTTTGAGACTAGTTTCAATGTTACTTGGAATATAATTTTTATTTCCACTGTTGCGTGGTGATTTGATGACATCCCACTGAATATGGGTAGGATATCTATGCTTGGATGCTTCTAGCAAGTCTTCAGCCTCCTACTCTGCAGTCTGTCCATACATTCAGAGTTGCCCCATCCCAGGTGCAGAATCCAGAACTGTCCTTGTTAAACTTCATACAGTTGGTGATTGCCCAGCCACTGATTTGTTCAGATCTCTCTGCGAGGCCTCTCCACCTTCAAAGGAGTCAATGGTTCATCCCAACTTAGTGTCGTCAAAATATTTAGTCTCCCTTCCAGTCCTGTGTCCACATCATTTATGAAGATGTTGAGAAGCACAGGGCCCAGGATGGAGTCCTGCAGAACCCCTCTAGTGACAGGTGTCCAGTCTGATGTCACTCCATTCACTGTAACCCTTTGTGCCTGGCTCCTGGGCCAGTTGCTCACTCATGCTGTGATGTGTTAAACAGCTGTGGGCTGGACATTTTGTACAGAGAATCCTGTGAGAGACACTATCAAAAGCTTTACCAAAATCCAAATAAAGTACATCATCTGACTTCCCTTGAAGCTAAGTGGCTCATCTTGTCATAAAAGGAAATTAACTTTGACAAGGAGGACTTTACCCTTCTGAAACTGTGCTGGCTGTGACTGATGACTTGGTTGTCCTTCAGGTGTTTTTCAGTAACTCCCAGAATAATCTCCACAATTTTACCTGTCACTGAATTCTGCCTGTTGTAAACAAAACAGAAGCATCACCTACCCCCATCCCAACCTTCCTTTTCTAAAATAAAACTTGTTCAGTTAAAATAATAAAATTTAAAAGAAAACACCATCAGAAGACATTTTAAATCTGTGGTGAGTGGTGGATGGGATCGGCATCCATCCAGAAAAGGAAAATGCCAGGATTGTCCAGGTGGTGGCACCGTTCTTCCTGGTTAAAAGCAGTTTGCAAGTTGTGAGAAAATTGCCTTTGTAGAAATCGTTTACAGCTTCTGCTTTCAGTTATACCCACTGAAGTCTCATAATTTGGACTCAGAGGTCTTTTCCAATCTAAGTGATTCCATGATTCTGTGATTGCATAAGCTTGGCTTTATAGTACATTTAGTTAGATGAGAAAGTTCTGCCTTAGAATAAAGAAATAAAAAAGCATATAATTTTCCATGTATGTATACATATATACATATATATATATATATACATATATATATTTTAAAAATTATATTATTTATATATATATATATATGTCCTGTTCCTGTACTATGGTAAAATTACTTGAAGAAATCAGAGGTCTGAGACTCTGCTATAGCAAATCTAGGGGCAAGCTAGTAAGGAAACCTCTGACTGTGAACATAGAGTATGTAGGGAGTCAGGCAGGGCATCTGAGCCACTCACTGTAAAGGGGCTTCAGCCCCAGCAATTACAGTCCCTGGGTGACCACCAGAATGTCTCCTGCATGGTCAGACAGGAAAGTTTCCTTAACACACCTATACATAAATAAGATGACCGTGGTAGGTCTTGTTTTCTTGGCCCCACCTTATAGCCAAGAGAGGGAATTACACCTACAACCAAAAGTGTCCAAGTTGGATTCCTGGGAGAATTCTTTAACTTTTCAAAACATTAAATGTTAATTATGTTATTTCCCAGATGAGAACCAGGGAAGAAGAATATGAAGATAGTGACAGTGTCATTTATGAGTATGAACCAGACTATGAATGTGTAAGTGAATTTTCTTTTGTTTGACTTTGAAAAGTTGCTTTGGGGATGCATGTTTTGGGATAGACTGAAGTAACATGAGAGATTTGAAGTTGGGATTTACTTAATGTGATATCCTGAGTGCGTGTATATATTAGTATCTTACACTCCTTCTTTTTCTTTTATTTTTTATGTTTAATTATTTTAATGAAAAAGGAAAGCATTTTATCTGAAGCTTCTTATACTGGATATCAGCAGAATCCTCTTATAGAGGTCCTCAGTTATTGCCAGGTATTTTTTTTCCTTTATATCTGAAATGGTGTTTAAGCAATTTTAGTTAAACTTCAGGAAGAGTTGTATTATAAACTTGACAATTAGTGACATGATCCTTTCCAGTTCTTTGGTTGTTAATTGCCTACATAACTACAATATTTTCAAAGTAAAACTAATCTCCCTCATATTCTCTGAACTTTTCATAAAAATAATTTTCAAATATTAAGCTTTAATACAAAATGTAAAGTTTAGTTATTGGGAGGAGCTTCACAGTAATGGGGAAGATAGGGCAGTGATTCACACCCAGCTATTGAATGTACAAGTTGCTTGCCAAAGGTGTGCTAAAAATCCTGCTAGTGTTGGTTTTGTGAGTTCTTTCCTTTTGATTTCTGAAGCAGTAACTGGCAAAATTGAAAATAACTGAACTAAAAATTAAAAACATCCTATATTTATTCAGGTGTGCACTTGTGTGATTGGAGTCATTCAGGCCATGCGTAATGGAAATCAATTTGTAAGTGTTTTGTAGGCAAGTGTTAATGTCTTGTAAGTCTCCTTAAGCATTCAGCAGTGTTGTGGAAGGAAGTTGGCTAAGTTTTAGGGAGGGAGTTCAGCTTTTAATTGAATTTTCTTGGTTTCTTCAGGTTTAGGTTGGGTTCTTTAAGTGAAACAGTACTATTTTCAGTCTTATATTTGTTGACAGGCCATGTATGATGCCATTCAGAAGTTGGATAAAAAATTTGACTTGCTTCATCGTAAGGTCTCGGAAATGCAGCATACTCGTATAAAGCCATTCTTGCTCAAACCTGTGAGTATTAAAGACCGGAAATGTTTATTTTTGCTTTAATTCTTTCATTTCTTCTGATGCTTATTTTTAAAATCCCAGTCCTTTCACTAAGATTAAAGTAAGGAATGAAATAGTAGACTTAGAATCTTTTTCAATTCAATTACTTGAGATTACTGATTATGTGCCAGCTTCAGTTTCCTGTGTTATTGACTGGTGGCCACAGATTGGCAGTGACTCCCATCAAATTTAGGATGCTGTGATAGAGGCTGTAAAATTCTGTTTGTATTGGCATGAACAGAAGTGAATTGTGTAGGTACATCCTAAACTTCAGTATATTGCTGTTGCACCTTTGCAACATGTGATGTGTTGTCTTATTGGTTTCTGCTTTTAGAAGAGAGTTTAAGCGTCAGTCAGGTTGGTTAAATTGGGTTAATGAACTTCATATCTGAACAGTATATTGTCATATCTGTTATGGTATAGAATTTATTTTTTTAATGGAAACTCCTTTTTAAACATTTTTAATAAGGTTTGTTATTGAGTACGCAGTATTCATTTTGTTCCTAAATGGTCAATCTACTGTTAAGTAAAGAGACACAATTTTAGCACTTCTAACAATGATCTTTAAAAGGAAAGTGTAACAGAAGATTTTTGAAAAAGGTTATAAAATCCATAATTACTTTTTTTATCATCAACACTACAAAGCTTTTAATGTGGCAGAGATGATTCTGCTGTCAGATGTTAAGGCAGCAGTAAGGCCATTTGCTTTAAGAGTGGGTGGAGCTGGATTTCTCACACCTGTCAGCTATCAGTAGGATACTAGGTTTTATTTGGTATGTATTTTTATACTCCAAGCTTGTGCTGTCTACCATGAGTTTCAGGGAATAAACTTAAACTGATCTTGTCAAATACAAATGAACCCTGTATGACCTCTGTGCTTTTACCCTCCCCTCTGATATGTGGGATGGCAGCTGCTTTAATGTTTGTATTTTTGGGTTAAAAGTGACCCGCACTGCTATTTTTTTTCCCTGAAGGCTTTTATCTTAGCCAGCTACTTTCTTAGGATCTGCCAATTAAAACCATCAGGACTGGTGCTGGGTTTTTTATAGCTGTACCATTGCTATACTTGTGAAGGGCTAATGGAATGGTTTGGGGTAAAGGTACCTTTTTTATTAGATGAATTCTAAATCTGGAGAAATTGACAAACTTTCAGATACATAAGACTTCCTTAAGGTCAAAGATTTTTTTTTAAGGTTACAAGGTTGAAAGAGTTCTCTAAAGAAACACACAAACCCACCAAAATTTAAAAAATTAAAACAAATCCACATATGTGATCTTCATTTGGTGGCTCCTGCTCAGTAACTTGTGTTTTGAACTAGAATGTATGCTGTATGGTTTTTAATAAAAATACTTGAAGTGAAGGAAAACATAGCCTATCTCTCAGTTTGTCCATTTCAGTCCCTTTGTAATCTTCATTGTAGATGAGATCTGAATGTTTAATGTTCTCAGCTAACAAGTAAATAAACAAGATAAAGTGTTTGGGCTTTTTTTCTTGTTTGAAAGGAGCTAAGCAGGGCAGTGGACACATTCCTTGAAAATTCATCTGCCAGCGACTGGGTAAATAACTGAAAAAATTTAAATTTTATTTTGCCTATTTACTTTTTAATAGAGGTCTAGAAAGTAGTTTTGTCCCCCCCAGGTGAAAAAAAATTGAGAAACATTGAAGCTGGCCAGATAAACTCTTGGTGTTGCAGATACAAATGAGAATAGAAGATAGCAGAGGGAAAGCTAAAATGTGGTAGCTCTGAGTTGATGACAGAGACTACTTTAAGGAAGAGTATGCTGCTAATTGCATCACTACTAAAATCTGGTTTTCCTGGTTTGCTAAAAACAACCCTCATACTTATTAGCTATGTGTAATTTAACCTGTTAATTGTTTTCTGAATCACATTCGCAGAAACCAGTTGGATTTACATACAGAAGTTCCAGTCATTTGCCTTCAGGAAAAATAAGAGTACAAAAACACATGGAAAGAGATTTAAGTCTTCATCTTTCTTCATCAGGCCAGGGAAGGCATAGCCCACTTGTAAGGACTGCTTTTCAAAATGGCCACGTTCAAGTCAACTCCAAGGTAAAACACGCCCCACAGAGTTTTCAGCTCGAATCTCAGCAGCCTGTTGGAAGGCAGAGCCCACCACTCCCCACTATAGTTTCTACACATTCATTACATTCATCATACACAACAACTAATGGGATGCCTGACCTTTCACCACAATCAAATCTTGCTCCCAGTATTGTGGAAAGTACTGTCAACATTGCATCTTCACCCGTGGCATCACCATCAATACCAGCACCATCTGAGCCCAGTCAGGAAAATAGTGCTGTGGAGTTGAACTACAGAAATGCATCTGAGGATGTGAATATTAGTGAAGAACTACCATCTTCTTCAGTCTTCATCAATCCTAGCTTTGGTGAGTTCCTTTGTGATAAATACACAGAGACAAAGGCTAAAAAAATGGCTGGTACTACCACAAGCCTTTGATTTACAGTAGGTGCTTTGGGTTCTTTTAACTCCAGGCTCTCTTTTTCTCTCTTAATGTAATATTTTCTATTCTGTGTATAATTCACAAGTAATATGTGCATGCTACCCATGTGTTGGAGGAGGCAAAAGATATTGCCACTAAAACTAAGTGAGGCATATGCCTATATGCATGTTTTAAGAAATCAGCTTACCTGATCTGTGTGAGGGAAATATCTGTTTTCTCATTGTGTGGGATTTTATCCATGAAACATCCTTTCTATACTCAAATACTCTAGTGTTTGGTTTCTTTCAAAATACTTCATTCCAAAGAAAAACAAGAATTCTATAGATCATTGCATCATAATAAAGATACACATGTCAAATAGCACCGTATATGAAAAACTAATGCCTTTCTAAAGTCTAAATGCCCTGATTTATATGCAAGGCTGAGCTATGACTTCTTTGCTTTTGGTCTAAAAAATACATTTGTACAGCTGAGGAACTGCATAAATAGTAGGTGAAATATTCAGCTATCTATTTAAAAATTTGTAAACCATTTATGATTTAGCAGTTCTTTGTATGGATATGCCACTCTTCATGAGTCAGTGTCTTGAAAGCATACCTGCTATCTGCACATAAAAAAAAAGGCCATTGTGAACATTGTGGACAGTTGGGTATCTAATGTGTTTTCTTGGGTGTTTTGATTTCAGTTAGTTATGAAGGTGGTTAATGTGAATCAAAAAGGTACTTCTGTTACCATTCCAATTTAAAGCTGCTTTTGTAAGAGTAAGGCTAAGTAGTAATATGTAGTAAAATTAACTGTAATAGAGAATATACTCCGAGAGTCCCAAGTTTGAAAAAATGCTCTGTTTTTAACAATTCATTTGAGATTTTAATTTTTTTTCTTTGAATATTTTTGTTTTATAAAAGAGTTTGTTGGTGACCCAGCAAGAAATGTAAAAGTTCTTGGAAACCATTTGGTGAAGGCTCGGCAAAAGACTAAACCCAAGTATGCAGCACGCCACTTGGTTCGTGTCTTGTTCCCCAAGAAAACTTTATTGTGCAGCATTATGGGAGCGAGTGCACGAGGGCGCAGGACATTGGATCCAAACAAGATTGCTGCAATAAGAGGTATGTTACCTTTCAAAATGCACAGATTTACTTCTTTCATACTTAACAAAGTTTTTGAACTGAAAAGGAGTCCTTTCCTGTATGTTTCTGGCTAATCGTTTTCTGGCAGCTGGTGAGCAGATAAATGCCATAGTAGATGTGCTCCACTCTACAGTATCCTTTTGTTTTGAAAGTCCTGCTTTGTAATTCTCAATGTTTGTTTTTCTCCAATTTAAATAAACCTATTCAAATTTCTTCTAGTTTTATGTACATTGTGTTCATCAGTCATGCTTGCTGTCTCTAGATTTTTAATTGCAGTTCATTTTGTGTTTGTGTGTGCCATGGATTTTGTCAGTGTTTTTTTGTTTGGTTGATTTGGGTTGGTTTATGGCCTTTGTATACCTGGGACAAACATTAATTGGTGTTTTTTAAACCGTTTTATGTTGAGTGAGAAGTAGTGAAGATGAAGAGGGCTTTTTTTGATAAATGTCAAGTCATTTACTTAGGTCCCATGGCATGTATGTGTTAAAGGGTTAAAATTGAGCATGAGGTTATATAAGCCATGTGAAACAGTTGCAGCAACAGGATTACCCTGTGTCTTTTCTTTTGGGGGGGTGGTGGCAGTGTTGGTTTTGGTTTTTTTTTAAAAGTTTATATGATTAATCACACATTTCCCCTTATTCTCTCAGGAAATGTTTGATATAATAGAAGCATTATTCACAACATCTCAAAAAGCATCACAGAACATCTTGAATTCATAATGCTGCTTATTTTCAAAACATAAGTTTACTATATTTATTGATTGAAATCTGAAGCTTGTAAATGGAGAACAGTAAATATATGAAGTATTAGTTAGCTTTCTCTTCTCTTTCTGAATTAGGATACTTCTGAATACTGGGCTTTATAATGATGCTTCAAACATTTTCTATGTTTTATATGCAGAGTTTCTTGTAACTAACTTTCCAACCTATGATTTGAGCGAGCACGGAAAAGACTGGAAAACCTGCATCACGAATGTCAATTCTATGATCCGTTCCTTACGCTCTGAAACCAAAGCAAAGGTAATGATTTATTAAGTATTAAGTTTGCACTTTTTTCTCAGATTAATTATTTGACCTGATCATGGTACAAGTGCTGTGCTGGAAATCCCTTGGGTTCTCTCTCTGTGTTGCTCAGCACAGGCATGCTGACTGCAGCACTGGCTCCATTTGGGCAATACTGGAATATGCTGTTTTCTGCTTTGCCTCTTCCTGCTTCTGTGTCCGGAGTTAAGAAGTGTTCAGGCATAGGATACTATAAGGAAAGTACTGCAAATGTTGCCCAGAAGTAGTGTCAAATTTGATTGAGAGCTTAAACAAGTAGCTCTTAGCACTTGTTTTCTTAGGCTTTTTTTTCCAGATATATTCAGCTATGCATTTCAGTCTTATATTGACTGAAACATTACTCCCAAAACACCTCCAACTACATTTACTTCTAAAATGTTCTGTGAACCTCTTTGTATAATTTTTAACTATTCTAGCAGTGGTTTTCATGGTAGAAATTCAGGAGTAACTATATTAAAAAGATCTGAAATCTGATTTATATTAATTGTGAAGTAAACTGGAACACCAATTAGAAAATGGGTAGGCTTCTCTCAGTGTGTGTACTAACCTCATTAAATATTTCAGCAGACAAATGAGAGGAAAGAAAAAGTGTCTGATGCTCCTGATACATCTCATTGTGTAGATTTAAATTATTATGAAGATAGTGGAGACAATTCTCAAAATTCTCAGAAAATGACCGGCTCCACAACTGACACATTGCAGAATTCAGAATTGGATAAGTTTTCAGAAGCTTTCCACACATCTTTGGTCAGAAGACAACAGTCTTTGGAACCTATGGGTAAACAAAGAAATTTTTGTGTTCTGGAATTGCTTGTTATGTTTTAAATAGTCAATGAGAAGCAAAAGATGGAGCTGTAGGTATAATTCTGTAGTAAAGGGATTTTCTGAACATGTGAGTCTTCTTTTTCTCTTAAGGCAGTCATTTGGTGTACACATAGTAAGTCTTTTTGGGAATGAATAAGGGCATTATATCTGGTTAACAATATATGTTTGCATCCACCAGAGTCCCATAATCTGTTGTGACACTGGGGAGTTCAGTTACTCTGTTCAGTTGCCCTGGCTTTTTTCTTTTATTTGGTAAATATTCTGCCTTAAAAATGTAAGCTAGCTCAGAATATCTATTGAATGGTGTTGCAATTTCAGAAGGAAATGCACATCTTTCTGCAAAGCAGTCTTTATATTTTCATTTCTTTTAATGTAAGTGTTCAATACACAAATGCATTGGGGAAAAACATCCATGTACAGCATGTGATGCTTAGAGACCATCAAGGAAAATGGACTGAGATTAGTTGCTGTTGGAAGTAATTGATTCAATTAGGATCACTTTGGGGTTGTTTCAGATCTGTTCCTGCACCCAAGATTTGCTAGTCAGATCCCACAGACCTCTTTATGTACTAAACATTTGCATTTTTTCTTACTAATGTTTTCAGTGAAGTGAGGTAGAAATAGTTTCCACTTGGAGAATCTAAGCACCACTGAAGTAGCAGAATTTTTATTTACTTAAGTACTTGGAAAAGCATCATCTTTTCACATGAGATGAAACAAGTTAGAAAGCAATAAAAATGCGGCTTGCATTGCTGAAGACGTATCAGAAGTACTGTTTGTGATTGTAAACCAGGCATGGTGTTCTGGCTGCTTGGCCAAATGTCTGCAATATGTTTCATGTTAGCAGTAGCTGTACTGTTAGGGTTTTGCTTTGGTCTTTCCAAGCAAGTAACAGTAGTTTCCAGGTGAGCTTTTTGTGTCAGTTTTGATTTAATACAGCCACTTTGAGGCATGGTCAGTGTTAGATGAGTAAAATACCTCTCTTCCCTCCATGACATCTTCTCTAGAGCCTCTTGGGAGCCCGTGGCGCAATGTTCAGTTGCCTTTCTCAGTCATTTATGTTGCTAAGGGGAAGACGCGGCCGGAGTTGTCAGCTCGCTTCCTAATTCGTCATATGTTCCCTGAAGAGGTGCTGGTGAAAAGCAACGTGTATGGTAGTCTTGATCGTGGCATGAGCCCACTGGATTCCAATAAAATTAATGCTCTCAGAGGTAAGTAAGAAAATCTCTGTTAAATCATAATGTGGGGAAACTAATAAGAGTATTAACTTTGTATCCTCTGAACAAAACATAAGCTTCAGAAATTAGTCTGTGAAAATGTAGGCGTTTCTGCAAGCAGTGGAACGAACTGAGAGGAAGTAGATAAAGATATTTTAGTAGCTCAAGAAATTCTCCAGATCGTGGACCTGGTTTTTAGGGGAAAACTTAATTGTCTTGACACTGGCTTGAAAGGGCAATGCAGTGGGAGATGGGAGCAGTCCCTGAGGATTCTGGAGGACATCAGAGATAATTTCTTGATACAGGGGCTGTGTAGATGAAGTAGAGAACAGAGATGTCATGTACAGCAGGTTATAATTTCCTTCAGAAAAAGGGTTGTTGTGGGATAATTGGTGGTGGCATTGACTGTAGAGATTATGAAATCATGGGCCTCGAGGTCCTGAGTAGAGTAAGAAGGGTCTGAGTACAGGCCCTGTAGCTTGGGAGAGCGCACTTTGACATGTTTGGGAGAGTCACAGATGGGAGCTTGTGAGAGACAGCTCTGAATAGGAGAGAAGCTCAGGAAAACTGACATAGCTTTAAAAACAGCCTTCTGCAAGCACACAAGAGTCCATCTTGATGCTTAGAAGAACTGAGTTATGGGGAGACAGGTTGGGCTAAGAGAATTCATAACTGAGCCCTGGAGCAAAAAAACCATATTTAGAGACTGGAAACAAGGATAGCTTATGAAGTGGAATTTAGCAGCTGTTGTGTTTTAACCCATCAGGTAGCTAAACACACAGAGGGGCTTGCTCACCTTCTTCCTCCCTGTCCTGTTCCCCCACCCCACCATTGGGAGTGGGGAGAGAAGTGGGGAAGGAGGACTGCGTCTGAGGGAACAGTGTTCATGCTCAATAAAACAGTGTTTTATTTGACTCACACCTGCTGGGGTGATGTCTGGGCATAGCTTGAGGGACAGACAGAGCATGCCAGAAATCACTTCCAGTATGGCAAGCACTACCACTAGCACTGGAAACTTTGCCTATATATACATATACATATACATATATATATATATATATATATATATTTATATATATATATATTATATATATACACATATATAGACGTGTAGACATATTTTATTTCTTGACATTTTGAGCTTAAGAAGCATTCAAAAGATCTAGTAAGTGCGTCCTAGGACTGCGAGAAGACCATGTAGGCCACAGAGCACATGAGAGGCAAATCCTGTGTGTTGCAGCCAGGCCTTGTCACTTTGCTCTGGAGCCAGAGGACAGTCCCTGGCCCTGTTTCCTTTAACACGGCCTGATTGGATGGCAGCACCCGCTCCCTGAAAGTTACCCTGCAGAGCAGGAAGGGACCCTGCATAGCCTTACTATAATCCCCAGAATCAGTCCATTTTGGTGAAAGAAAAAATATAACTTTAAAAGCTGTTTTGTGGACCATGTACAAAAGCTCTGTAGACCTTGAAGAATTCCGGTTCTGTGCTGATCCTTTGAGGTCAAGTATTCTTGAATTTATTGCTGGGGATGGAAGTAAAGAAAGCCTGTCTGCTGCTTCAGCCAACAGCTAATGTATCCTTTGTCAGCACAGTTTATAACAGGAGCATCCTAAGGCACACTTACTCTCCCTTTCACCTCTCCTCCTGGAGCAGAGTGAACTGCAAGAGCACAGGTTTTTATCTCAGTTACTTTCTTCCTTCAGACCAGAGTTGTTCTGGCAAAATGGGTTTCCAGGTTTGTAACTACAAGTTAAAATATTAGCTGTAAACAATGATGCTGTATTAGATTTTTACTTGCTGGTATGTGGGAGAACAAAGCTAGCACAAGATGTACTAGTTACACCTTTCTTTCTACTATGAAGATAAATCTAGATGTTAATCAGAGAAGGAGAAGCAATATTGCCTTGATTTGAAACTACAGATGAGAATTCCTTTTTGGTGTTTAAGTCTTTTACTGGGTTGCTTAGAGAAGACATGTAATTCAGCTCAGCTTAGCAGGACAATCACTTCTCAATAACTTTAAAAAACAATTTTAGTTTTAGTTTTAAACTACAAATTTTACTCATGGAAGGGGAGAAAGGTACCATAGTCCTATCCTTTTTATGTCATTGCTACCAAACTCAAGTGGTTTTTTTCTGATCTTACTTGCAGTATGGTAAGAAATAAGCTCTCACAGTTTTTCTGTCACTGTTGTTCCTGTACATCTGTGTTATGCTGAACTGCTGTGATTAATTTTAGTGATTATAGTTGTCAGAGATCCTCTGAAGGAGAGCTTGTCCTGCCTAATACTGGTCATTCTGAAGTGGAGCCCAAGATTTGTCTTTGCTACTTGACCACATTAGAAACTGAAGTTACTCAGCACTTCACAGGATCAAAACCACACACACATGGTCGTGTTTTCTTTTAATATTTTGGTTTTATGCTTAGACCTTTCTTACTTATTTTCAAATATAACAAATATAACAGAAAGGGGGAAAGCAGTATCTGCCCTGCTTTGCTTTTCAAGGCTTGCAATATACCTACCTGTCCTCGTTTGGTAGCATGCACTTGTTTTAGCTTAATTACATCCAGAAAGAGTATATAGCTTGCCTAAATAATTGATAATTCACTATTACATACTTGTTTATTTTTAGACTTTCTTCAAGAGAATTTTCCCTCCTTTGATCTAAATGAAAGTGGATTTGATTGGAAGGCGTGCGTGGCTGCCATAAACAGCACAATCCGCAGTCTCAGACATGAGCTTAAAAAGGCGACGTCTGGATTCCGCCAGAGAGCCCGGGCAGTGCTGCCCTCGAGTGCAGAGTCCCCCAGAGGATCCCACTCCCGTAAAGCCAGTGGAAAGCATCTCTCAGATTGAAGTTCTCTAGCATGTCTCAAATCTTAACTTAGCAGGTTTTTATTAATTCTGTGTAGAAGCCTGTAATATCGAGCTGTCCTATTCAACTGACTTGTCAGCAGCACTAAATAGCATCACTTCATGAAACCAAACTTAGCAGGTGGCTTGGGAGCCCTAACTCTTTGCATGGGTAGTGTTTGTGCTCCTCAGAAATTATTTTCGGTGTTCCCTCTCGCTTTTGCAATGTGCTCTCTCCTAAAAGCATCTTCTTCTCATGATTCATTGAATCTGAAAGATTAATCTGGTTAGAAAAGATGCAGTATGCATCAATTCAGCAGAAGCAGATGGAAAAGAGGAGAGGAAAGAATGGTCCTCCTTGGAGGGTGAATCATAGCCAGCTAAATTATCTCATTATGTATGAGGTATGAAATTTGCTTTGACAATTGGATATCTTCAGTGAAAATGTCAGAAAGGAAAAAATATCTTTAATTGCATTTAATTTGACTTGTTGTATTGGGACTTGATGATCTTTGAGGTCTTTTCCAACATTAATGATTGTATGATCTCTCACATTTTTGCCTCCTGTATCAGTGTTTTTTGAGGATAAGAGGCAAACAACAGTGCAAGTACAGCTGGTAATGTATGGGGGGAATGATGCCTTAAGTTTTAGCTTTCATATTTTCCAGATTCTGCATTAGTATATAACTCTAAACTCCAACTAAAATGTTAGCAAGTTCTCATCGCAGTTTCCTTAGAGAAAACAATCCTTTTCCAATGTCCAACCAAGGGCATTGTTTCAGCTTCAGGCCCATAAGGTACAAGCAACAGCGAATTGAGGAGAGCAAACTGGGAGGATGGGCCTTCGTAAGCTAAAGCTGTAATTGGACAATTAACCAAAATATTTAAATTGGCCGATGAAGAAAATATCACACTCCAGCATGGTGTGGATGGATGGAGGCAGAGATCTCTGAAGCTTGCTCTTGGGGAAAGAGGTTTATTGGGGGTGCAGGAGGGTCCTGCCTCGTGCTCCCAGGGGCAGCATGTGGCGGCCTGAGAGGGAGGGGGAGGAGAGAGACAAAAGGAGGGTTTGGGAGAGGGGAAGCTCCAAGGGAGGGGAAGTTCCAGGAGAGGGGAAGAGGTTCCAAGAGCCCGCATGGCCCCTCAAAGCCTCCTTATCAGGGGCTTCTAGGTGGGTTGGGATAAGGCATATCCAGTGGGGTTACAGACATTTGATGTTTTAGGGGAGGGATAGAGGTGTGGGGTGAGCCATACATCTTTTGGGGGGTGGGATGGAACAGTCCATTTCATCCCAGGACTCATCTAAAGGCAGGGGTGTCATCCGGCTAGCTGGGAGAACTGTTCTCATCCTGGCTGTATTATCTATGAACAATCATATTTATCTATCATCTGCAACAGACTGAAACTTATGAAAGTGCAAAAACTTGTGACCCGTTGTCCATCTTGGGTGTAGCTTTGGCCAGGCTCTTGTACTGCCCAAGGTGTATCCTTTGAAGGCCTTTTAATAAATACCAACTTTATTTCTTTAACACTGTCCAGCCTCTGTTCCAGGTAGCCTCTCAGGGCATCAGTTACTCTGCTTTGCTCTGATTTAGCTCTATTAAAAGGACAAAAAAACCTAGTCCAGTGGTTGGTTCTGGTTTTTCTTAATGAAGTTTAAGGAAAATACTTCTTCAGGGTCCTGAACTTCACCATCTCGTGGTTACTTCACATTTTTAGCAAATCCCTTGTAGGTGTATGAGGCCCAGAAAAGCATCTATCAATAATAAATGTTCATGCCCTTGCCTTTCCTTTGTGTCTACCCAAGACTAAGATTTACTAGTGCACTAAGCTATGTATTTAAAAAAAAAACAAAAAACAAACAAGCTAATTTTAACAAACTAATTTTCAAAATCACCTGGATGTTGAACTTTAAAAATAAATAAAAATTATTTACCATATATATTCAATTTAACATCTTGCTAATTAATTAATTTGTAAGTTAGAATTCAACAGCAGTAACTGTACAGAAGTTAATGTGGTGTTTTGTTGGGTAGCTTCTTTGTTATTTGGGGTTTTTTTGTTTGTTTGTTTTCAAAAAAGGAAGTAATCCTAGAATCATAAAATATGCTGTGTTGTAAGGGACATATCAGGATCATAAAGTCCAGCTCCTGACAGTGCATAGGATCATCCCCAGAAATGACCCCATGTGCCTGAGAGCATTGTCCGAGTGCTTCTTGAACTCTGTCAGGTTTCATGATAGGACCACTTCCCTGGGAACCTTTGCTAGTGCCCACCTGCCCTCTGGGTGAAGAACCTTTTCCTGACATCCAACCTAAACCTCCCCTGACTTCAGGCTGTTCCCTTGGGTCCTGTCACTGCTCATAAGAGGGAAGAGATCAGCACCTGCCCCTCCTCTTTCCCTTGTGGGGATGTTGAAGACCACAATGAGGTCTCCCCTCAGTCTGTTAACCCAAGTGACCTCAGCTGCTCCTCATACAACTTCTCCTCCAGACCCTTCACCAGCCTCATGGCCCTCCTCTGGGCACTCTCTGATAGCTGAATGTGTTTCTTGTATTGTGGTGCCTACAACTGCCCCCAGCACTTGAGATGAGTCTGCCCCAGTGCAGAGCAGAGCAGGACAATCCCCTCTCTCTCCCAGCTGGCAATGCTGTGCCTGATGCCCCCCAAGACTGACAGGGCACTGCTGATTGATGCTCAAGTTACACTAACCAGGACCTCCAGGACCCTTTCCATAGCTGCTCTCCAGCTTCTCATTCCCCAGTTAATGCATGCAGCCAGGGTTGCCCTGTTCCAGGTGCAGAGCCCAGCACTTGCCCTTGTTGAGCTCCATACAGTTGGTGTAACTTTTTTGTTCTGTTTTCCAGCATCAGTCACACAGTGCTGCTGTGTGAGCTTGCCTTGCTGCTTGTGTTGGGTCTGAGTGCAGTCTCAGAGGTCCAATTTCTTTACAGAAGGAAACTTCTTGGAAGACTGGCATAGAGAGTGGATTTTACCTCTGAGAGTTGTGGAAACTATGGCTTCCAAACTAACACCTGTACATAGCAGAATTAGATTTAACTAAGTCTGTCCTCTCCAAGGCAAAAGTTTAATAGTTTATTTGTTAGCAATAGGATAAAACAGTGAATTAACTCATTCCCACTTCAACTTTTCTTCATAACAAACATACAGTCTTTATTGTATAGAGTATAGGACCAGCTTTTTAATTGCAACATAGGACATGCGATGGCCTTATGAAATACGAAATCAGTTGGTAATTTAAGTTCCTTCTGGTACCTCCTTGCAGACGTCTTCTGGAGGATTCAAGAAACAGACTGAATTTCTGATTTTCTTTTCTTGGTAAAAATGTTGCACTGCAAATTTGGTTGTTCTGGTGTAGTATTAACAAATTCTTCTGTTACAGTCCTGCTGTAAATTCCAAGAACTTTGTTGTGTATAGATATTACTAGTTCAAAACCACAGAAAAAGACAAAACTGCTTATATTTTTTCAATTGTTTTATGAATTGTTTTCACTGTCCTTCACAGATTTTAATGGTAGAAGGATATATTTATTGAATGACATGTCTGGCACTGAAATCTGTTAAGTGTGGTGCTTACCTCTAGCTTTCATCTTGAAAAGAAAATTGAATAATTAAAGTAGAAATAGTTTTCTTGTTTCTGTTTCAAATGTATCAAATTTTGCTAACTTTTATAAAGTACAATTAAAGTATTTTGCTGTTAGGAATTAAGTATTTTACAAATAAAATTGCCGTATAGCTCTTTGACCAGATATGTCTGTCTAAGTATTTCTTGTGTCGTGAATCTACAGTTCATGTACCATTTAATCTGAAGAGATTATTCTTATGTCCTCTGAAGAACCAGGGCTGTAAGAGATCTTCTGATTGAGGTGAGATGATATTGAAATTTAAACTGCATTATCTGTAAACCACAGCAGACTCGTCTGGACTTGACTTGTCAGTTACAGCTGTGTGCGAGTTACCCAAAACAGAGCTTTCCTGGGAGGTCTTAGTGCACCCTGCAGGCTCTGATCAGAATTTTTGCCATTTTCACAGTGTGGATGTAAACAACCCATTTTACAGCTGTGTTCAGCTTTTATAGCCAGAACTCATTCCTTAGAACAATATCAATACTTGCTATTTTCTTCAAGTGTTTATTCAGATAATCATAGGACTTTAGAATAAGCTGTAGAAAGAGCTAAATATTTGTGCAGTTCTTTATTTGTATTTTTATATAGATATGGCAGTGTGATAATTTTGTAGGTCTCTTGCATAATTGCCATTTTCTTTCCTTCGGTGTATGGTATGATGATACCTCTGCCTGGCATGAGAACTCTAAATGTCACCTGAACTACAGGCTTATGTGTTTAAGTTACAATTTCAGCACAATTTTGTTTTTTTGGGTTTTCTTTTTAGTATTCTCCCCCTAGCTTTCCACCTCAAGTGGTGAAGTGACACTGACTGTGTGTCGCACTACTCCATGGAATTGATTTCAGCACTGGAAGCAGTCCCGCGGGTGCATTGAAGGGCTGTAGCACCACCTACCGAGACCCAAACGTTCTTCTGAGAAACGGAAAAGCCTCTGACTGATAGGAGCACTAAATACTCTGACACAGTGGTGCCATTCTGAGAATTTGATTGGTGCTCTCTCTGGAAATTTGAAGTTTTACTTCTACCTCTGCTTTATCCATTTAAGCTAAATCTTCCTATTTAAAAATTGTCTAACTTGAGTAAGGATTGTTTTTTTCAGTGAGAAGTTATTCTTAGTTACTTTTAACATCATCTGTAAATCTTTAACACATGTGGCAACTGTTCACAAACAGTTTTGTAAAAGTAATAAAATGTGGGAGTGATGGAACACCAGGTTCAGCATTGTCTTTTCTCACAGCCTTGGCAAATTCCTTGGCATTTAATTTGGTATTGTGAACTTTCCAAAGGTGGTGTCTGCTTTGTAGGCCCCATAGCCTTGGTTTAACCCCAGCTGGCAGCCAAGTCCCATGCAGTTCACTCATCCTAGCAGGGTGGGAGAGGAGAGTTTGAAGGGTAAACGTGAGAAAACTCATGGGTTGAGATAAATAGAGTTTAATAGGTAAAGCAAAACAAGGAATTCATTCACTGCAGGTGTTCAGCCACCCCCAGGGAAGCTGGGTTTCATCACTTGTAAAGGTGCCTTGGGAAGACAAATGCTGTATCTGTGAACATCCTCTCCTTCCACCTTCTCCCCCAGCTCTCTGGGCTGAACATGATGCTGTGTGGTGTGGGATATTCCTGTGGTCAGCTGGGGTCAGCTGTCCTGGCTGTGTCCCCTCCCACCTCCTTGTGCAACCCCAGCCCTTTTGCTGCTGGGTTGGGGTGAGGAGCAGAAAAGGTCTTGGCTGTGCAAACACTTCCCAGCAATAGGGAAAATATATCTGCATCATCACCACTGACCTGAAACACAGCCCCACACTGGCTACCGTGAAGCAAATTGACTGCTCAGCCAAAGCCAGCGTACCATCAAGCAAGAGAATTTCAGAACCATCAGAAGGCAGCAGAGGCTTGCAAAATTCCCAAACTCAGTGAAGCCACCACAGGTAGTCCAGAAGGACATTTTTCTGCCTGCACTGTCAGGTTTCAGAAGGTGGTAGGTATAACAATATTGTAGGCTAGAAGATACTTAAAAATCACTGGGTGCCTCATTAGAGGAAAAGTTCCATGTCAGAGTAACCAACCAGCCCAAATAAGGAGATTGGAAATTATTGCTTAAGAGTCTGCAAGGAAAGGGACTAAGTAAGCTGGATTTTGACAGCAGTTTTTGTATTGCATTCTATTTTTGTTCTTTACTCAGGCTTCTGATCCACAAGATAGTTCCTTTCCTTTACCATCTCCACAGGCAGGAAATTTCAGAAGGAGAGGGAAAGCTGTTTAAGTTAACACTTAAACAGATGAGGGTGGGGGCAGAGAATATATTAATATTTTACATTCCTGACTTGCATACTGCTATGCTTATTAGAATGGCTATGGGACAGGAGTGAACAGAGCAGTCAGG